GCAGGGTTTGGGTTGAGTTGTTGAGGTAGCGGCTGGTTAGGTGGTTTCCTATGCGTTTGCGGAGGGTGTCGGCTTTTGCGGATTTGGTAAAGTTGTTTAGGGCTGTGGGGAGGTTGTTTTGGGGGGAGAAGAGGGTGGTATAGGCTTGGATCTCTTCTGGTGTTGGGTATTGGGGCGGGTCGAAGGCCTTTCCTTCGTCGTCATGATACCATCCATGGAGACCGTGAGCTCGCTTCGCTTCGATGGCTCTTTGGGTCGCGTGGAGGGTTGTTTCGGCTTGGGCGCGGTAGATGTATTTGTCGGTTGGGGGGATGCCGAAGGATTCTCCTATACATTGTGCTAATGGCTTGTTGCTGTGGGTTGGAGAGTATTCTTTTTCTGTCCAGGCCTCGAAGAATGCATCGGGATTGAAGTTGGTTAATGCCATGTTGGTGGTTCACGGGTAGATGCCGATCCGCGATTATGCTTGCAAACCTGCACAACCACCAGTACAGTTGGTATTCCACGATTCCAACTCTTCCTCGTGCCGGTACGTCAACTCAGAACGGTAGATGGTAAACAACGCGCGAATCGCAATAGTTTGGTCGTAGTGCTGCGATCGGACTTGTTCCGCAACGTCTTCGGCAAGCGGCCAATGAGGGCTAGCTGAGAAAGAAGCAGGGGCGATTCCGTCATCCATCGGTAATCCGCCTGGTCAGCAAGCGTCTTCTCTCTTCCCCACAAGAGGCTGTTACTAACCTGGCCGTGCCTTAGTCACTCATTGCAAATGCGATGCGCGAAGTCAATGAAGCTTCGACATGATGCGCGAACTAACCCTCCCCCTACTAACAGCTATAAAGGCGCCTCGACGCTTTCGATGCCAGGATTCTTCCTTTCGTGATGACAGACACACCTGGTGAACATCGCTCTACTACAACAGATACTTCGTATTCGACAACCACAAAGACACTTACAGTAGTCGTTGGTCTTGTCGCAATCATCCTGGCTTTCTCAAGTACTTTCCGCAGTATCTGGTTCCCTGCTGTTCTTACTAAACCCACCACACGCGCAATGTCGACCGCAGGCCCAACTTCAATGAAGCTCACCAAGCGCGGTTGGTCGCAACGCGGACATGCCGACCACGACTGGCTATACACATACCACACTTTCTCCTTCGCTTCGTACTATGACCCCAGACACGAGAGCTTCGGCCCACTGAGGGTCATCAACGAAGACAGAGTAAAGGCCGGCACCGGTTTCGGTACGTACACCCCGTCCCATATGCACGCCTACTCTTTTCTAACACTACCAAACAGGAACACACAGCCACGCCGAATTCCTCATCTTCAGCTACATCGTCAACGGCGTCCTCGAACACAAAGACAGCATGGGCAACCTCGAAAACCTCAAGCGCGGCGAAGTCCAATTCACCTCCGCCGGCACCGGCATCCGCCACTCGGAATACAACCGCAACACCGACTCCGAAGTCCACTTCCTCCAGATCTGGGCCAAGCCCAACAAGCGCGGTCTGAAGCCGCATTACGAAACGAAGAAGTTTACCGACGAGGAGAAGACGGATAACTTGGTTAGAATAATGGAGTCCACGGACAGGTTGGAGAAGAGTAAAGGTGCTATTGGGCTGCAGGCTGATCTTAGCATGGATGCGTCGATTTTGAGCCCGGGCAAGAAGGTTGTTCATGAGCTGGTTGCTGAGGGGCCGAGGAAGCTGTTTGCTCATGTTGTTATGGGTGGACGGTCGCAGCCGAAGCAGGGTGGAGCGCAGATTAAGATTGGGGATCAGGTCTTTGGGGAGGGTGATGGCGCGTATGTTGAGGGTATGAGCGGGCCTGGCAAGATTGAGATTGAGAGTGTCGGCGAGAAACCAGCTGAGTTCTTGTTGTTTGATATGGGGCCTCAGGATGCATAGACGGATTTCTAGGATGGTTTCACATGCTGATTTTCAAGATAGTAATACACGTTTGGAGTATCTTGCGTGTGCCATTTCAGTACGCTGCCGTCCATCCAAAATATTCCGCATCCGACATGGTAGGATTTTCGTCGACCTGGGGGAATCCATAGATTTCGTTCTTGAGCCTTCGCTTCAGCTCTTCCAGCACTCGACGATTCCGCTTACTGAAGGTTCCTGGTCTGATTGATGTCGCTAGTGGGACTGTGGGTATCTTGAGTACACAGCTGGTGACCATCACCATGTATACTCCAATGGCTACGCTAGGCTCAGCTTTTATCTTCATGGATTTTGGAGTGAGATGGGATCTTCTGCGTGAAGAAGAGGTTGGAGGGTGATTATACGCGAGTTCGTGACCTGGTGGGATCGGAGGTGTAAATCTTCAGCGGTTGGCTTTCACTAATCGTTTGATAGCTACGCTGTCTGCCTTTGAAGTCTATGCAATCGGTTTGCTGCCCGTTCGACATCTGATCGAACGCCAGGGTCGCGGTGTCATAGATGCGATGCCAACGCAACGGTTTGATCCTCTGACCACCAACTTATTGCCAGCACACAAATCCACACCCTGACACGCAAACACTAAGTATCTCATCATTTCTAGGTTCAGTGTCCGGCATCCGACCACCTCACCGGTGTCGTTGCTGTATAATCCGGCTCGATCAACACATGCTGTGTCAATGAAGCGTCACTACCAATCGACTCGCTTTCGTCATCAGCGTAATAGCCCGATGAGCTTTCCGAAGGCATTCTCCTGAGACCAGGTCTTCTATCTCGTGCAAGAACGACACCACAACCATATATGGCACAGCATAGTGCTGCGAGGAGGATGCCTACTAGGACGCCTATCGCGAAGTACGGAAAACATGGGGGCATGTTTGGAGGGTCTTGGTTTGGGTTTTGGATAATACCTGTCATGATTCGTGGTCGGTTGAGTGAATGGATGGTGGGTGATTTATGACTGAATGAAGCTACCGGAGAAGCTAATGTAGCGTAGTAGCAGGGCGCTATATATACATATTTCGGCTTGCCCTTCACATCATCTGGGTGCGTCAGCTTACCAGACGCGCCTATCATGCGCACCTAACGCCTCCCCCCAGCGTTTGTTTCCCTTATCAGCTTTGCCTCAACGATCTCAAGGCTTTTTGTCCCATAGTTCTTCCAGTATATCTTTTCTTCTTGTCTTATTCACCGCGTCGTTCGTAAAAGGGTTTCCACATTCGTATCTTGAGTCACTGTGCGATACTTGCGTTTCCTTACCTTTACCGGGAACGTCTACTCTGTGGAAGAGGCTCGGAGACTCTTCGTAATGGGACGACGAATCGCTGATGTCTGATCGGACACTGTATCTAGAGCTCGATGGATACGCCGGTCCTGGTACAGTAAGGCGTTGTGCGACGCTATGCGGTGGTGGCTGCACTTCTTCCTGTATAGATGTGGCTTGAGGCATAATAGGTATATTGCGCAGACCATGCTCCTCATCTCTTTCCTGAGATCGATGGTGGAGAGACAAGAGTAACCGGAAGGTTAATATGATCTGGATGAGGAGGACAAGGAGGATGACTAGGCAGATTACTGCTATGCTTTCGATCTCCATGTCGCATTTGTTGAAAAATGAGCAATGGGCATGGTGTTCAGACGAAGGAATGAATGAGAGATGTATCTATCGTGAGCACACGTACGCGCAACGCGTTGTTATGATGATACCGACAGCAGAACAGCCAACGCAGGACGAGGCGTCTGGGAAAGAAGTCTATTCCAAATCTGGATCTGGACCACACGATGACGTTAATCACTCCGTCATGTCCCCTAACTCCGCGATTTCCTTGCTTTCTTTCTCTCTTAGCTAGCACTTGTCACTGCACACGTCCGTTACACACAGGTTCCAAACACCTCTCTCTTCCTATCAGAAACCACCGTAACCATCAACCCCGTTACTAAGCATAATACACCACCCCCGGATGCGCATTCTCAGCCGTCTGCGTCGGTCTCGGCCGCGTCGTTCTATAATCGTAGTATAAGTCTGACTGAGGATCTGTTTTCTTGGGTCCAGCGTGGTAGTTGCGCGTTCTGATCTTCATGCGTCGGAGCCACTCTTTGAAGAGGACCCAGCGCCAGATGAGGGGGGTCGGGGAGTTGGGCATTTCGGGTGAGTGAGAATTTACTCTTAGATTGTGTACCGCGAGCTTCAGAGGTTTTTTGGTGGTGCACAAGATTTGGAGAAGACGGTGTCGCGAAAGATGTGCAGAGAGGTAGAAAGTATAACAGAATTAGTGAATTCATTAGTGGATGACACTTATCGTCACGACTGGCTGGGTGCCTATGTCACTCGCCACCCACTTCACATCGCGAGGACGCCCACGTCCACTTTCATGATCATGAAGTAGAAAAGAAGAAGAGAGTGACGAATAGATATTCAATTCCAGGTACACAACCAACTAGCTTTTCTGGTGGCATCATTCATGGCTTGTATACCCGTGTCATTTGGTACACCTGATCGTCTTGTTCCTTTCAACGAGTTGATTGTGTAGCGTCTTGTGCACAACCGCGGATGCGAAATGGGTGCGTATCCCTCGCACGATAGTTGTTCTCAGCTGCGCACTGGCATGGGCTCCTTGACGGTGATAAAGATCAGATAAGATACCAACGGAACGGCGAGGCAAAGGCCGAAGAGCATGAGGATTTCGTATAACTGATTCATTGCAGGCGCTGATAATGGTCTGGGTGTGCTTGATCGAGATACGCTTACGCGTTAGGTATCTAGTACGATGTATGGGGTTTTGCGGAAGGAACAGAAGACGAGGCCGGTTTCCAACGATATAAGCACCAAGGTCGTCATTCCGCCATCACCACTGCCAGCGTATCGCCCCTTCTTAGTGTCGCAAAGCGCTAGCCACATCATTCCTCCAGAAAACATTCTCCTTCTCTTTGTCCCTATCTCTTCCCAGGCCAGCGCTCACCCAACACATAACTATACCGCCCCCTCTTCTCAATCCGCGCATCCTCGTCACATAATTCCCCTTCATCAAACCGCTCATACCGCGGTAGAGCCGAGACTTCACTGCTTCTTCTCGTCACTGCTCGTGACGGCCTCTGTAACATTATCGCACCGTCTTCCAGCCTAACTCGTGTCGACCCTTGTACCAAATCGGCGAATTCATGTTCGTTGTCTCGCTGGACCCGTCGTTGATGCATCTTCATGCAGACTTTGTAAATGATGCGTAGCACGATCAGGCCGGCGGCGATTATGACCATAACCCATAGTGCTTTGGCGTTGGGCCAGGTGAAGTCGGAGGCTGAGGCATCGTAGTTGCTGTCTGGGGTTGTCATGGCTGTGGCGATGAAGGAGGTAGTATACACGAGTTCCTAGAAGACATCGTGAATGACAAAAAGGCACATTGCACTTGAAGAAAGGTAAAGATAGTTTGAAGATATCCGAACAGCAAGCTGCTTCGCTGGCGAAGAACCGGAAGCCGTGCTGGCAAACGCGCAAACGCAGTTTAAGCGTGAGAAACGACACCTAGCGACACATCGTCGTGACAACATCTTCACGTCTCTCGTTTCGAATAGCAAACATTATTTCCTAACTTTGCCATACAATGCATGTAACCTTATCGTTGTTACGTCTCAGTATACTGGATCAACCCTCCTTCTCATCAGCATCCGGCTGATCCTCGTCGTGATAATCATTGACTCTCGGTCCCTCAGGTCCTTCAAGCGATTCGTCTGCTTCGCGAAATGCATCTACGAAATCTATTCGCGCTAGGACGATGTCTAGATAGAGGGAGAGAGCAAGAAAGCCTGCGATCAGCCAGGTAGAAGTGTCCGCCATGGTTAGATGCAAGACACTGTGTTGAGATGTGTTTTGAGAAATCCTTTCGAAAGCGTAAGAAGTTAGATGACAGGAATACAAATGCAGAAGTAAGAAGAAAGACACGCAACTAGTACAGAGGGCGACGGGAAGTACTAGCCAAACGACCGTACCAGCAGCCGAACTCTGATGAACAAACACCTGGATCAGGTAGGAGACCAAGGCGTCTACGTGTATGCCAAACATCCGCGATTGCGAACGCGATGTACTACCATCTATCCTAGCAATATACAACCGCAAGTGTACTGTATTGACCTTCATGGACATGCTTTATCCAGTCATTGATAACAGCGCTGTTGTAGAGCAAGCCACGTAATAATACCTGTATATTCTGGTCCTTCTACAGCCTGTTATCTCCGTTTTCCGTTTCCATCATCTCTTGCTATCCTTCAGATACGCGTTCCAATCAGTCTTCTCGCCCTGAACATCAACTCCCGTCACGCCATCCCCCTCAGTCCAGCCCTGCCACTTCTCCAAGCCAAACAGATGACGCATGGTAGGACGGCCATGGGGGCAAGCCCACGGCTTGTCCATACTGCCCATGTGTCGAACAATTTCCCGCATGCGTGGCGTCTGAAGGGTCTTACCGATCATCACCGAACTTCTGCAGGCGCGGCTTGCGAGTAACTTCCTGACCTTGGAGGGGCGCGGTATATGCGACGATGTGGACATGGACGAAGACTGTGGGCTTTCTACGATGAGTGCGAGGAGTTCTTCTAGATCCGTAGGTGTAAAGGTGACTTCTTTTGACATTGGCAATGAGACCAACTGCGCATGGTTGTCTGCGCCATTTTCATCCTCGGTGTCTAGATCGACAACAAAGCCGTTTGCGGTGAGTGAGGGTTTGTTCGCGCGGATAACTTCCTTCTCCACGGCAGTCAGCTCAAGAGGGTGTGGGTGGACTAGTCGCTGTGGCACTAGCGTTGTCGTGGCAGCGAGACGCTCAAAGTTGTACTTCTCGTCACTCGCATGCTGGTCGATGATGAAGAGGTCTGATGTGGGTGATGTGGATGTAGGCGGCCGTACAGCGATGATGAAGCCAAGATTGAATTGACCAATGATGCGCATTTCACTGAAGTCGGCTTTCGTTACTGTAAGGCTGAGACGTTCTTCCGGGTCTTCCTGATTCAACTGGGTGCTGGTCGGTAGCGCAGTTGTCTCATCGCTCTCCGCAATCGACGCGTCGATGGATGCCTGCACATTTTGTAGGTGCCGAGCGATGGCACCCACATCCGTCTCGATGACACGCTCAAGGTTGATGGTCCAATACTTCTTCTGAGTAACCTTGAATAGCTTGTTGGCGCGCTTGAGGTTCATTTCGGTGGGCCGGGCTGCGGCCTCTTCAGCGTCAGCAATGAGCTGCGCAATCTTCGCTTCTTCCCTCTCTTTCTTTTCGGAATCTTCTAGATACTCATCATCATCTGTGATCTCGGCTTCAGCTTCAGCTTGAGGCTGTGCTTCACCATCAGATGAGGCTTCCTCTGCTGGAGCGTCTTCTGGAATGACTGTTGCGCGTGGCGGTGGCGCGCTGGATGAGACAGCGATATCATCCGTCCGCGGTTCCTCAAAGCCGCGGGACGGCAGGCGCTTATGCGGAGATGGAGAGCGTACAGGTGCATCAGACATAAGACTGTCCTGCGCGACTTCAGTCTCGTCCTCCCCCTCGTCCTCATCATTCTCCTCTTCCTCACTACTTTCAGCTTGGGTACCCGGTGCTGCAAAGCCGCTTATACCCTTCTTGAATAAACTCCGCTTTGGTGTCTGATTCAGCGGCTTACCGGAGAGAGAAAACTTGGGTGTGTGTATCCTAGAGCGTTTGGCAGCCATCGATTGACTCCCTGTACCGATTGTGGAAACCGTCGTGGTGTCACCAACAGTTATAGTAGCTTGTTGGATTGGCGTGCGCATTGGACGCATACGATCAAAGGCGTTTTGGATGGTACTTTGTGACCAGGATTTCTGCGGTGTCTGTACTATGGCCGGGATTGGCTGCTGTTCATCGTCACCGTCATCAGTGGATTCTGGACGCTTTAACGAGATGACTGGCTCCTGCCTGTGAGGACTCTGAGATGCTATGCGGGCATTGAAATCTTGTACGATTTTCGAAGGTTGTGAAAGCCTGACCGAAACCCCTGGTGCTTCGTCTTCTGGTTCAAACAATGGTGACTGTGACCTTGAGCGCGCTAGCTCGACCTGACTCTTTTTCTCTGGTGAAGGGCTGCGTGAAGGGACATGTGAATCGGACATGGGCTCTTCGGGAGACTCTCTGTTCTTGGAGGAGCTGGCTCTTCTAGGTCTTACCATTGGACGGACCGTTCGTTCTTCGGAGTCCCTGCCAGCAAACCGCTCAATGAGACTTGCCTTTACGAAGCCTGGACGGACATTCATGTCGGGCGTGTCTTGAGGAGATAGCAATTCACCTCTCTTTGGAGTCTTTTGGGGAGGCTCGACAGCATCTTCCGATTCACTTTGGTCGCCTGCAATTGCTGGGGTGGTGCTTTCACGGGGTTGTATTGTTGGCGGCTTGAAGGCGGATGTGGGTGTCTTCTTGCCCAAGAGTTGAGCTTGAGGTACACTCTGATCATGGCCCTCAAATAGCTCTAGAAGAGCGTCCTTGAGTTTCTCCAATAGCGTAGTCTGGTCGTGGAGCATGATGGTCCGCTTGTCTGGACTCACATTGACATCGTAGGCATTCGTGTCCAGCTGGATGTCTGCAAATATAAAAGCCGACTGCGTGATGTTATAGGATCTGTAGACCTCATTGATCGCCTTGGCAACTTGTGGCAGAGCACAAGGCCGCGAATTCACAAAGAACATCTGTCGGTCTTGTGTCTGGCGGCCTTCACCCACAACAGGGCGGGAAATGTGGCCCACTATCTTGACTGTTTTTGAACCTGTTTCCTCTTGTGTGCTCCAGTTCTTTGCGCTTTGTGTGGCACCCAGCCGGCTCGAAGGGTCCATGACGAATTCGAGGCTTAGAGGAACCAGGGCAGCAATTGTCTTTGCGCCGTAGACATTGGAGATGTTGTCTCGCGTACTCGCATTCGCGTTGGTCGAAAAAGCCACCGTCTTCTTCCTTAACCAAGTCAGTACAATGGATGGGTGGATGGATATTGGATCTGCACTCACCCTTTCGGTATCTGATTGCTCACCGAGAACTTGACGCCTACGCTGATGCAAGCATATGCGTTCAGCAGCTGCAGCACTTTGTTGTACTCCCGCTTGATGTTCTTCTCCAGCTCCTTCCGCCGTACAGGTAGGTTATGGAACAGTGTCTCGACCACCACAGTCGTGCCCTGCTTGGCTGCTACCACCGACGTCCCCTTCAGCTTGCCGGACTGCTCGAACTCCAGCTTTGTACCCTTTGGGCCGTCGGAGGGTCGAGCCGTAATGATGTGAAAGTTGGATAGCGCGCATAGCGACGACAAGGCCTCGCCACGGAAGCCGAATGTCTGTAGGGACGAAAGGTCGTCGTAGGTAGCGAGTTTGGACGTGTAGTGCTTAAGCGCGATCGTTTCGTAGTCGTCTGGGGAGATACCAGAGCCGTTGTCTTGAACCTCTATGGCATCCAGGCCATAATTCTTGAAGCGCACCTCTGTTCACTATCAGTCAGCTCATGTCAACCAGAAATCGTGGGGCGAAGACATACCAACTGATGTGGCGCCTGCATCGATGCTGTTCTCGACAAGCTCTTTGCAGACTGACTCCAGACCAACAATGACCTGGCCGGACTGGATCTGATGCACAGAGCGGCCCTCGATGGCCTTGATGGTGGCCATGTCAACCCATGCCGAGGTGACGTCCTGGAGACGGTTGAATGCGGACGGCGTGACTACGCGACGCGTTTCGGGCTAGCCAATGGACGTGACGCGCTAAATGTGGGGGTCAACCGGTCGTACTCCGCACTGAGGAGCTTCCCGCTTTACGTTTCAGACTTCAGGATAAACAAATTGCGCCTTCGACACGTTTTAGTTTTCAACCCCCAGACTTCAATTTTCTTCGCTCTTCGCATGCAAGATGAATGATCCAAATGAGCTCGAACAGCTACAAGCGGTCGTCCGTCGGATGGCCGTGCAATCGCAATTCGAACACGATCTGTGAGTGCCAGAAACAACTGCGTCCGCGACGTAGGCGTCGCATGTCCTAGCTATGGCAGACTTGCACAACGACTCGCACCATTCATTCGGGTAGCTGACGTTTTTGCAGAATCACTAAAAAGAAGCTCGAGCTTGAACAGATCAACAAAGCAGCACGCGCCAATGATGTCGTGTATCAGAAATATACACGCTACTACGCAATGAAAGACTGCCTGCGGCTCATGAATCTGATGCATCAAAAGCTCCCCGTAGAGCTACGCGACTTGGTGTACGAGTTCCTCTGCGTTGAACCTGATCGTCCGATTCCCGTTGGGCCATACTATCACTTCCGCAAATACGATAAGCCTTTTCACGATCCATTA